GGGGGGGGGGAGGGGCTGGAGAGGAGGTGGCCAAGGCGTGGAGGGGAGAAGAGGGTAGGTCTTATCTCTGCAAACAGCGTGGCGTCGGGGTTCCCGTCCGACGCCACGGAGGCCGAGACAACGGCACACAGAGCAGGCTGCGTCTCAATTTTGGGGGGGAAAATAACGAGTCCACGGAAAAAAGCATCGGTCGTTTTGCGGGCGGTGCCAGCCGGCGGCGTGGTTCAATGTACACACAAACTTCGGTAAAATAAAGAGTCTGTAAAATGTACACACGGCAGCGATCGTTTGGGCGGCGCGGCGTGTCTGGGGCAGCTCGCGTAAGTGGGTCAAGGTTAGCAAGTGCAGGCGGGGCGGGGCGGGGCGGGCCGACTCCCTCCAGCATCCCTCCACTGGCTCGGCTGCGGCGGCGGCAGCGGGGAGCCACAAGGAGGTCCAGTCCAGGTGGGGCCGAGCCAACGCCCCTGGCCGTGGCGTCGCTCCCGCCAGGAAGTGGAGGAAGCAAAAGGAGTCGCCGCCGGCCGGACCCGATCTACGTTCCGGCGGTTTCTGCAGCGCAGCCTAAATGTATTCATTTGCTCGTCAATATTGCAGATAGAAAAAAAGTAAAAACTGCTTCATGTTTGTAAAAGATCAAAGAACAACATACTCCAAAGAAAAAATTGGGTGCTACCGCAACTAGACTGTAGTAGAGGTCTAAACTTGAGTCTCCCGCGAGCGGCGAAAAGCAGATCGAACTTTGTGTAACCGTGCCGCTGCAGATCAAACTTTGTCGTTAGGAGGCATCGACTTTTGTTCCGTTACCGAACCCTTTCGAGCTTTCGTATTAAGAAACACTTTGGGACTTGGAACACAATAGTTAGTGCCCGGCGCAAAACACTTAAAACTACTCATGTTGGTGGGTGACGGTCCAGAAAGTACGTCTGTTTTTTCTCAGACGCATTTCGACGCATCCTACGAATAATGTTTGATCTCCCGGCGCGCCGTTCAACACTGTCCGATCTCCCGGCGTGTCGCTCCAACAAAGTTCGATCTCCTTTTCAGCTGCATCTGCGCCTTAGGCTTTAAACCGGAATATCTTTGTTAAAAATCCACTTAAAAGGAAACCAATAGATTCTATGTGATCCTAAATGATGACGCAACACATTCGGCCAGTAACAAAATGCTATGATAACAACGAATGGAGGCGTTTAAACTTCCACCTCGATGCGGCCCCTAAAAGGGAGATCGAACTTTGTTGGAGCAACACGCCGGAAGATCGGACAGTGTTGAACGGCGCGCCAGGAGATCGAACTTTGTTCGTAGGATGCGTCGAAAATTTTGTGTATTACGGGAGCTCAGCGCCTGCGAGACTCAGAGTAGGCCACCCCGCCGTACGCGCGTGCTCTGCTGGCAAGATGTTGCCTACCTAGCAGGCGCTATGAGAGCCTGTAGTGGCTGAACGTGGCAGTTGCGTAACGGCTAATGAAAGACGCACCTTTTGATGGAGCCAAATACGGCAGCTGGTTCCCACTTTGTTTTTTGTTCTTTTTAGCTCCAACCCGGTTTGAACTTCAAACCGATAGAACCCCAAATGATAGGCTGAGAACCAGACCGTGTCAAGCCCACAAGAGGCGCCCACATGTGTGTCCCTCACGGAAGCGAGTTACCTCGGCGGGTACCCCCGTGCGCGGTGAGTACCCCAGCTTGGTACTACTCACGTGTCTCTCTTGGTGGAGCCGAGCCGGTGGTACCCACTCGTCCTCAGCGGGGCCGGGACTCAGCTGACGACTGCCGCCTGCCCGTGCCCCGGCACCCGGCCCAGCCCCTGAGCCCCTAACCGCCTCGCCTCGTCACATGGCGGGGCGGGGCGGGGCGCAGGGTGCGCGGCGCGCCGGGCGCGGGGTGTGGCGGGGCGGGGCGGGGCGCAGGGTGCGCGGCGCGCCGGGCGCGGGGTGTGGCGGGGCGGGGCGGGGCGCAGGGCGTGCCGCGGAGCGTCAAGACGATGTAGCGTGATACCGCATCGCTTACGTTGAATCCTTTCCCGTCTCCTCCCTCCTTGAGTCACATAGAGAACGTACCACCCGTGATCTCGTTAGGGTTCTCCCAAATGTGGGAATGTCACACACCCCTAGAATTGTAAAATTTCTTTCGCACAATATTGTACAAATATATAGGCGTGTCTTGGAATTTCACTCATCTATGGGATCTTTTCACATATACACGAGTGTGTGCGAATAGACATTTCGCGCCCCTCATGTGTGACATCCACACACTTCGCGTGGCCCGGCTGCTCCGCTGAGCCCGATAGGACCGAGCCACACTTCCTCGTTCGGTCTCCAATAAAGCGTCCTCGTTTTTCTCGGCCTGGCGCCATAGAGCAGCAGAGGGCCAGAGAGGCGCGCTGCTCTCGGACACCACTCATTATAAACGCGGGAGAGGGAGAGAGAGGGGGGGGGGGCTCAGGACGACGCACCCACGCGACGGGAGGACGGACGGACGCACGGACGGACGGACGGACGAGTACGAATTCCCCGCGCAAGGCGTCAGCACTGTCAGCACTTGCCGGCCGCGCCGCCGCCCGATGGGCAGTAAATGAAGTAGACGTTGTGATAATCACATCGTGAATGTGCAGCAGCAGCAGCGGCGGCAGCAGCGGCAGCGGCAGCAGCAGCGGCGGCAGCAGCAGCAGCAGCAGAGGCGGCGGCGGCGGC